CCCGGCCAAGGCTGACCTGGGCTGAGCATCAGGCCAGGCCCAGGGCCACCGGCGAGAAGCCAGGCAGCGCGGTGCCCAGGACGGCCCGCTGGACGACTCCTGCAGTCTGGAACCACAAAATAGTCATTCGATAAGCCCTAAGCCCCGCGGCGGTGTCGGGGGCGCTTCCCAGAGCTCAGGGTCGTCGGCGCACAGTCCATCCATCAGCCGAGCCTCGCAGGAGGACGGATAGCCCCAGCCCTCCCTGTGCCCTCTGTCGCCCCCTCCTCGATGTGCTTGCAGGCAGGGGTCCTCAGGCAACTAGGCCCCTTTCTCATCCTCCACCTGGCTCCTACCTCGACTCAACTCCCTCCCCAGGTTGTCTTCAGGGTGGATGCCAAGGCCGCCAGACCCCTCTTCGCTGACCCTCTCCCTTGACCCTTCGTCTTCCGTTCTGAACACGGTTTTCGCTTCCAGAAATGGGCCTCACTCACTGGCCTCGACCTTCACACATCCTGTTCCTTCTCCTAGTCTCCTATTAAGCGAGGCTGCCTCGCTTTGGTAACTCCAGCTCCACTTCAAGTTTTGTATAGCATCTCGGGAAGGCCCATCTTGACTTCCCCTGCTAGGACGGGTTCCAGAGGTGGAAGTTCATCTTCGTTTTTTTGTTGTTGTTTGTTGTTTGTTTTGTTTTGTTTTTGGGGGGGTTGAAGAGGTTTTTGCTATAAAGACAGAGAGAGACAGAGAGACAGAAAGTGAGAAATCACCCCCCAGGGGGGATGGTCATGCCACAATCCCTCCTCCTCCATTCTCCTCGCGGGATCTTGGGGCCACTTGCACATGCGACCTGCGTGAGTTTACACCACCAAGTCCAGGACTTGAACCACAGTCGACTACATGGGAATCCAGCAACATAGCCATTGCACCAACTGCTGGTCACCATCTTCGTTGGTTTAAATGCTTGTAAATTAAATGTCTGGTATCCACCTGAATGAGTTTCCTCTGTCTTTATTGCTTGTTTCCTATAGTGATTCCCCCTTTTTCTTTCTCCTTTTATGTTTTTTTGTTATAGGCTGTGTGCTCACCAGAGAGACAGAGAGAGAGCGATATCACACCCCAAGGGGGATGGCCATGCTGCAAATCCCTTTCTTCCATTCTTCTCTTGGAACTCTGGGCACGGAAGACTCGTTTCTGCTTCTGGTGTGTTCCCCAAGCCGCTGAGTCCCACTTGAACCGATGGGTCGGCCATGTGGACTGGATCCAGCAGACTTAACCACCATAACTCACTGCCTGGCCCCTGTATAGTGATTTTTAATTTAAAATATTTTTAAATAAAGAAAACAGCTAAATAAATTATGTTTTTAAATGTAAAGTTTATTTCATGAGCAAGAAAGAGGGAGGGAGACAGCAACCCCGCGCCTGGTCTTCTTGCATGAGGCCATCCTCAGCCTCAGCCAGCCCCGGGAATGGGCGATGTGCTCCTAGTACTGGGGCCTAACTAGAACCTTCCCGTGTGAGTCTGCCTTGCAGACCATTGTGTTTTACTACTGAGTCTGCCCCCTAATTGTTTTTTTGTAATAGCAAACAACATATATAAATTCCCAGTAGCACTATTTACTCTTTATAGTTTAGATAGAGGTTGTTGGGTTTTTTTTTTTGTTTTTTTTTTTTGAGAGATTTTTGCTATAGGGAACATGTATTCACCAGAGAGACAG